TTTTGAAATTAATGCATTGGTGCAAACCGTACGGTCCCGTTACGAAATCATTCCGTCGGAATTTGTAGTCGTTAGATCAACTATGCCCGATGGTTACATGATGATCTTACGATTACAAATTCCGACGGAATGGTTCTGTAACGGGACTGTAGCATTTCCCCAATGCAAGCTACATTCATTGTTTTTTTCTTTTTCTTTTTTTTTTTCTTATACGATTAATAATTAGAATGTAACAATGGTTTTTATTTAACTATGTGGTATTAAATTCGTGTTTTCACTTCCGGTTTGTTTCGGATACTATATCAATTGATGAGAAATGACTAACTTCATAAATTTTTTACTTCCTTTAACATGCTAGCCTAATGACATAAATTTTAAAACAAAATATATATATTATTGTAAGATCCTCAAATATTTTAAACCCATTTCATTCAACATATTGAGGTTAAGTTTATAACACTCTATTTCTAACCCATTTCATTCAATGAAGTCAATGATGTGTAAAACACCTTAATTCGGTTCATTGTCCTTTGATTCACTTTAATTCACTTCAGTTATCTGTAAAACAACGTCATTTTTCGACGTAGAGCCGTCAACGCTTAAGTTATTATTGTTATTTTAATAATAGTATATAGTCGACTATGATCGTAATTCAATAGAAGAAAAGAGAAGAAAAAACCCTTAGTTATACCCCACCCCCTTATATAAGGTGGTTATCTTGTTGCCGAAGAACTCTATATCCTTGCTTGCTGCCCAAAAACACTATGTTTTTGGGTAAGATTCTATTCACACACTTGTTTCATTCTCATGTCTCTTTCCACGCAAGTTTCCTTTGGCTAGGTCTATTATTCTTCTTGAGATACATCTACTTTTTCGTAAGCGAGTTCTCCAGCCCTTCAGATCTGTAAGCAGGACCAAGATAATCGACTTGTAACTAACCGAGCTAAAGTAGCTCGGTCATCTCCGCTCTGACTAATCCGGATAAACCAAGCTAAAGCTGCTCTTGAGGTCGTTACTCGCAACTCTAGGTCCAGGTCGAGCGTCCAATTGTAGAGTCCTAACTTCGCCTGATGTTATCCTTCACTAGGTCGAGCTCCACTCCACCGTCCTGACTGATGGCCTGCCCAGGTTTCTCCTAGAGGGAGGTTTGTTCTAAAATAGAACTTCTGCGCCGAACAGAGTCTCAAATTTCTTATAGTCACTAATATTACCAGAGCTCCCTTTTTGACCTTCGAATAACATGTCTATACACCTTGCATCATACTGCTTACGTAGTATATGGGCTTTTGTACACATTTTTCTTCACGCAGTACGACCTAGCTCAATGCGATTTGCCCGATTGAATCACACAACACCCGACTCTCTCCTTTATCAGCTTTAGCCAAAAAAAGGTAACTCGGCTAGGACCACTTCCCGAGTGTGTTTGTATACAAATATATCCGTTCACAACGAGTTTTTTTAGTTAACTAGGGTTAATTTTGAAAAAAATTGTATAGTTAATTGTTAGTAGATTTTAAATTTATATTAAAATAATATTTAAAATTAAAAAATCAAAAATTAAGTTTATGTAAAAGTAAGAGAGAAATGATGTAAAGTGATGGTTAGTTAAAATTATATGGGTGGATGAATAGTGAATTAAAGTCGATGTGATATGTATGAATGATTGCTTAATATTATACTAGTATAATTATATAGATAATATCTAACATAGTAGGGTTGAGTTAAAATTTGAGTATGAGTTGAAATTATTAATAAACAAACACAAACCTCAACTCATCAAAAGCTAGTCTTGAAAAAAGGGGAAGCTTGAGCTCTTCTTTAACGTCTTGAAAAAAGGGGAAGCTTCTTTCAGCTGTCTTGGAACAAAACAACTTAGACCAGCAATTCGCCCTGTTAACACATGTACATCCTTCGCTTTTTGGTGGTCTCATTTCCAAAACAGCCCGCACCGTCTCTGATTAACCTTTATGCCTCTCTTAGTGATCATATAACGCAAGAATTTTCCCGACTTCGCCTCAATGCATTCCACGTGTGGTGGGAAAATATATGCTGGTTTTAGCAAAATTGATTAGTCCAATATAGATATAGATTTACTTTTTTTTTTNTTTTTTTTTTTTTTTTCTTTTTGCTTGAGACGTCTCTCAAAAAGAAGGAAAGAAAACAGAGAAATCCTCATAGAACAAGAAACTTATCAAAAAGATATCAGCAAAGCAAAATCATTTCTATAACTATTAATTCAACTATAGCTTATTGAGAAAGTTGAGAATTAGCTGATTCACTTTGTCCGGGAATTGTTCCTGCATAAAATGAGAACCTTCAGGCAAGTATTCTGTCTCATAGTTTGGCACGTACACCTTCGACCGACCACTTTTAATGTAATCTTCGATTCCAGGAAAATTCAACGAGTAATCCTTCCCACCCGTAATTACCAATGCCGGGACTTCAACCTTCAAATTCATAATGTCAAACTCTTCATGAAGTGACCTGTGAGTACATTTACACAGAACCCGTAGATCATGAGACTTTTTGCACTTGGCGCACTATTTTTCATTTTCATCACATCATTTCTAAATGATTACGCGCAGACACAAATTAATGAGCTCAACGTAAGGGTAGTGCATCCACAGCCGCAAATTTATCGAACAAATGAAGCCTTACAAAAATCGCATTACAAAACCGCATCAGAATTAACCATGCTCGATCATAAAAGTAAATCAACTCTTACGCATTTACCTATACGGAACTTGCAATGCAGTTTGAAATCCGGATTTCTGATACAGAGAAGCATAAATTTCAAGATCTTGCATGGTAAACCAAAGGGGCAAAGGAGCCAATGGGTCCACAATATCCATTATCTCCCGGTTCCCATTAGCTCTCGGCACTTTATCTCGAGAGAAGAGAATGTAAATATTCTTCACCACAGTCTTACAGTTAAAACGGCTGAAATCAGCCTCAGCCCTTCCCGGGTCCTGAAAACAGAGATTTCACAAGTTTAGCCATTCAAAAATTTAGCCAAAAAAAAAAAAACGTAACTTCTTATAAGTAATATTTTTTCCATACCTGCCACCTTGAAATGTATAGATCCTTGTCGAGAGGCTTAAGATTTGTTGGACGACTTGGAGGCACAAATGGCACTCCCAGTGTAATTATTCCGGATACTCTCTCAGGATGAAACAGTGAAAATAAGTAAACTATTCGAGCTCCAAAATCTTTACCGATCAAGCAAACCTGTTGTGGGAAAACGCAAAAAGACATTACATTCAACTTTTGCTCTCTTTTTTTTTTTTTATATATTTCTTTTTCGGGACGGACAAGAAAGAGCAATATCTTGAATGCCAAGTATTTAAGGAAAATACTATGAGCATCATAAAAGAACCAAGTTTAACGTATGAAGTGCCGAGCATTGTCGAATTTCACTTCTGTTAATAGTTGTTGCTCATGTTAATAACCAATCTGACTTCATGACTTAATGTTATGATGATTTTTACCTTTTACTTATTGCAAAAACTCAAAAGAGAATCCACGACGAAAACTACAGTCTTTAAGAATACGAAAGCAATTATTATTGCAACAAATACATTCTGTCATGGGGGGGAAATGCTACGGTCCCGTTACGGAACCATTCTGTCTGAGTTTGTAACCGTTAGATCATCATGTAATCGTCAGGAATAGTTGATTTAACGGTTACAAACCCCGACAGAATGGTTTCCTCACAGGACCGTAGCATCTCCCTCTATCATGTTCTCTACGTATCTTCTCACAATTTGCTCTACGACTCAACTATTTGTCAATCTAATTTCTCCTTAATTTGCTCGAAAACCGTGTCAACTCTGTTGATTTCGAACTTCAACAATAGCTTTAAAGCGCCTAACCTTACCTCACAATTGCTTACACTAGCTTCAGATTTTAGATTTTCATTTTTTCAAGCCCATTACTAATACAAGTAAAAGTTGCTTGGGATAAGGAACAAAATCAGATATGAAATTATCAAATTGTGCACAATTAAAAAGACAGTAATCATAGAAAAAAAGAGGAAAAAAAAAAAACATCTGTAGCGAAGCAAAATTGGGAGGGGGTTTGCGGACCTTGGACAGGGTGAGAGCATCAAGCAGTGCAAGGAGATCGGAAATGAAGTCCGAGAAAGTGGCTTTCTCGGGTTGGGGCGGCGGGTCGG